GAGGTTTCAAAAGATTTTCTTACATACCAAATTACATCCTCCAAAGAAGCAGTACTTTGCATCGTTTGAATTTTTAACTGAACTTTAAAGAGAAATGCATATTTATGCTGTTGTCTCAGTGACTGCCAAACTGGGAGAAAAAAGAAGTAAGAAAGCTTAAAACAGACTATAACAAATATTAAAAAGGAGGACATCAATACAGAAACAATATTTCAATCCTAAGAAAATTCAGTGCCTTAGCAATACAGTTTATCTTAAAACACGTTCAGGTACTATATGAGCAATTAGGTTTTTCAGTTGACTGTTGTTTTGTCCTTCCCGTCTGGACGGCAGTTCACAAAGGACTGCCAGGCCGCTCTTACCGTCGCAGTTAGTATCTGCCGTGGTGGAGACTGTTCGCTTGCACGTTCTCTGCAAGGCCTGTAAAGGTCCGCACCTCCAGGAATTCTGGTGGGATATCCAGTAGGTTTCTCAAGCAAGAGCTGTATCTGCGGTCCTCTCTCGGGCGTGAAAAGCCTAAAAGGCCTCCCCAGCACCCCGCTGTGACTGGCCATGCGGATGATGGTCCTGCAAGGCTCTGGGGAGCCCCGGGATAAGCAACGGGGCAGGACGATGCCGCGGGCGCCCTCACAGCTTGCTTGCCGTGGGGAAGCCCTGCTAGCTCAGAGGCGCGTAGCTCAGGGGCTCCCCAGGCACAGGCTGATTACACCTATGATTTCTTGTTCACCAGGCCTCAGGCACAGCATTGAATTTCATTCCCACAATGTTCCCTGAAAACAATACTCGTGGATCAAATTAAATTATTTTACTAATGTTGAAAATTCAGTAGCCTAATCAGTAACAGGCCTTCTTCTTTCCTGGGTAAGCTGGAAAGTGCTGATGGGGAGTTACAGGTGCTCACTTCCAAGAAACCCTAAATTAATACATCACTTACGGTACGCAAGAGAGCATCATTCACGTACCCTACTTACCCAGTAAACAGCTTTGGTAAGTCAGCACTTTTTTTCTCTCCTTACTGCTGTTCACTAAGAAACGTATGAAGAGTGGTAGGTAAATATATATTTGTTACTTTTCCTGTTCTATCATCCAATCTGTGTTTCTAAATTTACAGTTTTCTTTGTTGCATGTTTCTTTTCATGAAGTACAGAATCTTCTCTTTCTCTTACAATGCAGTTAACTATGGTAGTAAATAGAGCTTGCTACATAGAACAATTAATAATAAATTATATTTAACACTTTCGTAGTTTTCCCTTTGCAAAGCACTCGAAAATATTGTCTATGAAGGGTTCAGTCCAGGCAAATCTGATTCTTACGCTTATGAAATTCAAGATTCAACATAAAATCGTCTTAAAACTTCCCTTAAATCTCCTTGGCTGGACTTTCTACGAGGTGGGGCTTGGGGAGAGATCCCAATGTCCGTCCATAGGTCATGCAAGTGCTTGCGGGAAGGAGTAGGTAGGAAGTGGGTGGAAAATGGGTGGCTGCTTCTCACTAACCAGGAAGTGGAAAGAACGTAACGTGTATCTCAGCGTCATAAAGAAGTAGAGCAATCCCAACTGCCAGAGGCAATACAAAAAGTATCTCCTATCTGTCAGCATTAACCAGTGGTACCATGAAAGATGAGACGTTATTGTTGCTATAGTATTTAAAACTGTTCCGGGGGGCCAGCTCCCATTTTATGTCCTAAAGATCCTTCAGGCTACGGAGGAAGCCTCGTCTCTACTGAGCAGTTTAATAAGGAAACTTTTCTGACAGACATTTTAAAGCTGCCAGGGAAGCAGACAGACATGTAAGAGGAATTTTGGAGCCAGCAGCTACAAAACCAAAATGTTTATTTACAGTATGCAAATAAATGGGGAAAAAAATCAGCTTTGGAAAAAAAGCACTTTGTCTGTCTCATCTAATGTGATTACATTGATATTTCCACAGAGTACATGAGCAGGCTAAAAAAAGCCTAAAAGTCTGGAAATTATGTTCATATTGATTAGATAGTGAAAATAATTTGTCCACTGTCTAAAGCTCTGTAACCTAAAAGAAAAACAAAGGATGCATTTTTATTATACCTACAAAAGCCACTACTTACAATTGCAGGTTTCAGTTCCATAGTAACTGTGCAGTAAATTGTGTTGTGTAGTTATTGGTACTTTTATTATGTGAACGGAAAACGTTACTTGTCAGTTGGTAAAATTCTTCCCTCTAGTCTCATATTAGTGATGGATGATACTGCTAAAAACTGTCAGGATACTGATACCAAAAAAGCTATTCCTGTGCCACTAATGGCAATGCTATTAAACTGACTTATAAGCCCCTCTAAGATTTTCAAAACAGCTTTCAAACAGCAGCGCTGGAGGAGGGAGAAGAGGAGGCCGGGGAAGCAGCAGCCCGCTGCAGCGCTGTTTCTTCGCCCTCCCGCTGAGCAGCAGCCCCGCCACCACCCCCTAAAAGCTGCTCCTGCTCACAGGGCACGGGAGAGCAAAGAAGAGCTGCAGCTGCCAGCGCACCCAGCAACAACCAGGAAACACCCTAAAAACTGCCTGACCCTGCAGAACACTCTTCAGGAGCGGCGAAACCGCTGGCTGCTGCTTGCAGAAGCCTAACCGCGCGCACGGTACTGGAGCCAGGTAGCACTGCAGCACTAATGTGGAATCGGGCACGCTGCCCACTGCCAGCACAGCCGTGAACGGCCTCTGAGGGCGCCGGCAAAAGAAGAGCCAGCAACTCTGACTTTTTCCATCACTTTCTTGTGAGGGTCTTTCACATACTTCAGCAGCTATTGTGCATCATGTATTAATTCATCAAATGGTCATATTAAAAAAAAAAAACAAAAAAACTTGTGTCACCCAACAGCTGCAAGGAAAAATGCCCTTTCTAGAGTTCAAAAAAATGCTAGTCTAGATCCTGCCTTGGCTTACGCTGATGTAGACTCCTACTATTTCAGTGACTACAGCTGAGTCCTTCCACAGGTACATGGAAGTAAAGGAACATAATTTGATCCTCAAGATTTTTATATTAGAGTTTTAAAGCAGACGGTTTCTTTGGTGTCCCACCAATGCTGTGTGGAACAGATGGTGGAGTGCACAGGAGGCAATTTCTAATGAAATCAAAGACCACTTTGCCACTCACTTGAACTCAGGAGGACATTATCTTTTGCTTTACAGGAAATGCAAACATGGTGTCCCATAGGATACAGTATTAAGTCCACTTCTGGCAATTAATTAGTTCAATGCAGTATGCTGTTTGCCCTTATTGTAGTTATAAGTTATGTGACTCATCCTTTTTTCTAGAGAACAAAATCAGATGCAAAAAACCACATTTTTCTCTTCACATGTTCTGCATATTGAAACGAAAAGCTTTTGAAAATTGCACTGATTTGAGAAGAACGTTTCTACTAAAAGAGGTGAGGGATTTTAGCCTTTATTTAATATAAATGTTTCAAATAAACTGAAATTTTTAAATTTTACCTGCTATTCACATATGAGTTATTACTTGCTTCATCATAACCTAAGCAGTGGTTATAATCTTGTTATCCGCTGACCACGGAGAGGGTCCATGGACTACGTCCCAACAGGTCACAAAAAGTAACTAAGAACTGTAAATCTGTTGTTACTATCTGCAAGTTAGCTAGACAATATTTTACACCTCCACTGGAAAACATGGAGATTCTGAATGTTTATAAAAAGGTTAAGAAGAATTGGTCTAAACCTCTGGCTTGATGATAATAAGTGACAACTGCCTCTAGATTAACAGAGGTCTCTATAATTAGGAACAATCTAGTGTCAGCAGGAGACAACTTTTTTGAGTCCGGCTCAAGACTATAAAATAAAATCTGCTACTCTGTAAGGACTATCTGTCTCTGCACCTCCAACTGCAGGGTGCATTCCTTCAGCCTTATCTCTTTGCATAAATATACAGGAACATATGTAAGAACAATACTTAATAAAACAGCAGAAGCCTTTTATACTGCACATATTTCTCCACACGTGGAGAGAATGACATAACAGACATATGAAAAATGTCAGTCATGATCTTTCTCAGTTGTACTTTATCTTCTGTAACAAACACCATCAGAAGGAAGCAGAACAAAAGTAGAATGCATAATTTTTTTGGTATTTTCTCAGAAACATGTAATTCAATTCGGAAAAAATACCAGTCAAACAGCATATTCTTGTTCTTTTTGATGGCAAGAATTGGCCAGTTTTGGAGCCTTATGCCTCAGTTCTGTTAGGAGATAAATTTTATGACTGAACAAGTTATTTTGA